GGGGGGGGGGTGGTGGTGTTGGGTAGGATCTATGCAGAACTGTTGTGCCTGGGGAATGCCATCAGCTGTGCACTGCAGCGCAGGTGCTTCGCTAACTCTCGGCTGGTGCCTCTCGCTGCCCTTCCACCGCCAACCCGACAAGAAGTTTGGGTCTGATTCTCTTTCCCTTCTTGTTTAAATAAGTTTTTAAATATCGGCGTCCTTAGCGAAGCCGGCTGGCGATGCGCTCAGCCGTCTCCTCTCGCCGATGTGATTTAGGGGGGGACACACCCCCGCAGCCCCCACCGTCACACAGCCCCGACCCCGCGCTCTCCGGGGGCTACGGGGGTGGGCGCGGGGGGCGGCGGGTCCATCCCGGCCGGGGAAGGGGCTCCGTGAGCGGGGCAAGCCCGACCCCTGCAGTCGCCTGTCGGAAGCCGCCGCGGCGCGCCGGGATTGCAGCATCCGCGGCGGGGCTGGGGAGCCGCGCTCGGAGCTGCGGGAGGGGCGGGGGTGGCGAGCGCTTTGCAGCGGGTATTAATCTCTTTCCGCTCATTCTTGTAGCAGCAGGAGGGGAATCCCCCTCCCTCCGCCGCCTCCCTCCCCCGGCAATGCCGGCACTGCCCCGCTGAGACGTGCAGAGTTTTGGGGTTGACTTGCACCTGGCCGCCCTGGAATAGAGACTCTCCGGATCGGATCGGTTGGGGGTTTGTTGTCTTATGTCGTGTTGGGAAATCTGGTGGATTTTTTTCTCGCTCGTGGAGGAAGAGCCCGGTGCAGGCAGTTGGCTTCGTGGTCTTTTTTGGAGGGCGAAGGAAGGGAAGGGATCTCGCTTGAGCCGTGCGGAGAGACAGCCCGGACATGTGTTGTCAGCACATCTGGGGAATACAGTCTGCAAGTCCGAAAGGAAATTTGCTGGGATCGTTCAAACTGCGATATTGATCTTTGTTATTTTTTTTCGCCGAGGGATGCACTTGGCATGAGAATCGGAGGATGGAAATTGTTTGGGAGGTGCTTTTTCTTCTGCAAGCGAATTTCATCGTCTGCATTTCAGGTACGCAGCACAGAAAGGGCGAGGGAGGGGGGGGAAATACTATACAGGGTTCCCAGGCTTCCCCTTATTAAGGGGTAAGAGGTACAGTTAAATCAAAATTGTAGTTGAAAAGCACATGAATGATGTGTTGTGAGTGGGTCGTGACAGAAATCCACAAACATCGCTTCCCTCTCCCCCTTAATTCCAACACCTGTGTTGTAATTATGATACATTGGTTGCAGTGAATAACCACAGTGTACTGATAAGGCAAATGCTGATAATTCCTAATGTACCTGATTGTGATAATTATTCACAGCATTGCTGTGATCCCAGAATTTCATAGCTCCTGAAGTTCTTAAACTCGTCTGATCTGCAGATCTTAAAGGGTTTGCGGTTCGTTGATGGACTTAACATGCTCTGCTGCCACAGTTCAGGGTCTGCAAAGAGAGGGATAAGAGTGAAGAATGTGCCTCTGCTTTTAAAGTGAGCTTTACTGTGGCTGTGCTCTGAAAATGGATTTTTTTTTCCTTTAAAAAAAGCCCCATTCAGACAGCTCTGTGGTGGCTGGGATTTCCACCTTTATTTTAAGCTTACGAAGATCTCTCTCCCCTCCAGCATGCAGAAGTCAGGTTGTCAGTTGTCACCAGAGCTTGTCCAATTAATAAATAGGCATGGTCGAGTGTCGAGCATAAAGGATTGGAACAATTTATTCTTGGGGAAAACACTCCCTTCGACTGCAGAAGCCCTGGCTCCCTTGTTAATTTGTCATGTTGGTCATGCTGGAATAATTATGTTGTAGGAGGCAGGAGAGGGGAGGTGGCTAGTTTTCTAGTTTGGGACACTCCAGGGAGCCCCATGGGGATCCAGGCTGCCTGTGTCTCCTGCTGTTCCACCTCTCTGCAGGCTGACTCTGCCCTCCAGCCATTGCATAAGTCTGGAAATGGGAACGCAGGCAACACAGGCAAGGCACTTCCAGGGAGAGCTCGGGGGTCCTGGTGGACATCTCAGTGTCCAGCCTGGAGTGTGCAGGGAGAGGGAGCTCCAAAGCTCTCCTGGGGCCATGCAGAGGTTGGCCTGGGCTGTGTCCCTGCCAACAGCACCTGCAGCATCTCACCCTGGCAGCGCCGGGCCCCACTGCGCTTCCTGCAGCACTCCCCGACTGATCCACCCTTACGGCCCTTGGACTGGTGACACACCAACATTGGAGGCTCAGCACCCCTGTTAATTTGTATTGCCTGCACCTGCCCCAAAGCTTTTTAATTCCTGAGCAAATAGCTCTGCTGTCTGCTCACGGTGTACGTCAGCCCTTCCCTTATCCCCACAGACTGGCACCATCTGCTACCAGGCACCCGGGTGACACTGGCAGCACCCCAGGCTGACCTTCCACTTGTGCCCATTGGTACCATCAGAATAATTCACTCTCTCGCTTTTTAGAACAGCAAAAACCTGCTGCCTCTTGTCATTTAAATCTCACACTTATCTATTTAGCTCAGCGTGATGTGCCACCTGTCCAGTTCCCCTCAAATTAGGCACTTCTTAAAGTGCCACAGTGAGAATGGAAAACTGAAGCTCATCGCTTTCCTGGCCATTCTGACAGTAATATCCTGAGACAGAAAGAAGCTGTCCCGTTCTGTGCAGCTCCTTATGCCATGCATTTAGCTGTCAGCGTTCCCAGAGCTCCCCCCCCTTCCTTTCCTCCTCTTCAGACGTGGGAGCCCAGGCTTCTGAACCAGTGGGATCAGTCCTGCAGGGGCTCCCATCGCTCTCCATCTCCCTCTAGCACTAATACCTAACACTGTACAGGCTGATACCATCTCTGCTTGCTTTTTCGCTTATTTTGTTCCTTTTTTGGGGTGGAATGAAGTGGATAAGTGAATGGTGGGATGTTTCTGCTGCGTGGTTAAAGCTGTGGTTTCAAATAATTTTAACCACACGGAGGATGTGTACATGCTTTAGCCTTTTTTTTCTTTTTTCTTTTTTTTCTTTTTCCTCTTCCTAGGGATTTATTTATTTATTTATTTTCAGGAATCCTTACTATTTGTCGTCTTGGTAAAAAGGATTAAGATCTGTAGATATCTGACTGGCACTAATGCTTTGTATCTTCCCTCTGCCCTCCTTTTAACACTATTTTTTGTAACATATTATCTACCTGGGATGTCTGGATAACAGTGCAAGTGAGAGAAGGTGGTGTAAAGCCTGTTAAGGGTTTGCCTCAACACTGGATTCCAGACACTGTATATTTTTAGCGCTTCAGCACTGGTTATTCATTCAGCATGTTACTTAAAAAACCCATTAGTTGAGCTCCAGTGCTGCAAATTACCAGAATGTAAATTAAGGAGTGTGGTAGTATTTAGCTTCTTTTTTTTCTCTTCCTTATTAAGTCAGTAGTTTCAGCAGTGAAGCCACAAGCCAGATCTTCCGTGAATGGATCTTTCCTGAATATTAGCAAATGCTTGATTCCAGGTCTATTTAAACCTGTGAATTCCAGTGGTTATTTGAATTAGGGTCTGTTAAGGGCTGCTTTTCAAAGGGATGATGTCAGTCGGTGAATTCAACACCGGTGAATTTATCGTTATTAATAAACTTATTTATTAAACATAGGTTCAATGTTATGTCACGTTGTCTTTTGCTGTGTATTTATGTAACATTTAAATATAAATTATGCTGTCTTTCTTATTTGAAATAAATAATGAAGTTATACAATTGAATTTTTTGGTGTCTCTCACACCCATGAATTTCTCAGAGACAGTACATTGAAAATAATTTAATATATTAAAAAGAGGTGTACATATATTTTCAAAATATTTTATAGCTAATAATTGTATCAGTCAGCTATGTGTATGAGAGATTGCTTGGTTTGGAAGAAATGATACTGAGATTTAGGAATTGATTTTTTTTTTTTTTTATTACTAGACCTTGTGTTTGGGAAATAATTTATCTGTGAACATCATAAACAATATTTTTGTTTTCTTGGCATATTGGATTCAGGCTTCTGCTACTTGAAATTGCTTGTTTGAAAAGAAAATGTACTTTCTTTGTGCAGATGCAAATGAGAAACAAGAACATGTTGAAGGACCACAGAAACCATTTCTGTCCTTTAGAAAGAAATGAAAGCCCTTGTCTACCTTCAAAGTCATATTTATTCCTATGAGTTGTAGTCTCTGAGGCAAAACAGTCATGATTTGTATTATGACTTCTGAGGTTTTGTCCTTTTAATGGTACTGTTCAGGATGGAAGGAACACAGGGGAGTGGAGGTGAAGATGTGCTGTAGACACAGTGCTGGAACTAGACCTCAGTGGATGTTGTTCCTTTGAGGATGCAGATGATCATGGCAGAGGGATTACACTGTTTGTATGATGTCCAGAATTTCCTCCTTGAGTAATAACACCACAGATTAATTAGCATCAGTCTTCTCAGGTGGGGTGTCATGGAGCCCATAATGGCAGCCACCTTTCCTTGCATAGTCATTTGTATGAACCATGAAGGATTTTTTTTTTTTTTAATGATTCTAGATATTAACAATCAATTTCAAGGAAAAAGCTAGAATGCTGTTTTCAAACCTTTGCAGGATACTTGATTTAAATAAGAAAATTAAGCTGTCAAAGGCATTGATAAAGAAGGTGTATTTTCTGTTGGTCCATCAACAAAATAATATATAAAACCTCCATGGTCAACATCTGTATGCTTTCCTATGAATTGATATACTACCTCTTATAGTTTGGGCTTTTGGGTACTAATATGGAAGTATTTTATTTTTATCCTTTGCCATGTCCCCAAGTCACAGAGGGGCAAATCCGTCTTGTGATGCAACTTCTTTGGCCTGCTTGGCAGCACACAAGTGTCATAAATCATGTATCATGAGCAACTGAAGTGGTGTAAAAAAAGCCTTGTCTATCCAGGAATTCCACTGTGTATTGAGCATCTGATGTAGCATCTCCTGGCATTGAGGGCTAGAGGTAGATTTGGAGCACGGTTGCACTTCATTTTCTGTCTTGCTGCTTCTGCAGTCTCTGAGCTCTTATTACCTGGCATAACACAGAGCCGTCCTGTAGGAACTCTAAATTATGCCAGGGCTTGAATTATCTGTTGAATGATGGTCTGTAAGGTCTGATAACTCTTCTTCTCATAGTATTGCACAGCCTGAGTAATCTTGTAGAAGAGAAGAATATCAAGGCTCTAATGTCCAACATGAGAACAGTGAATGGTTCATTGTTATGTTTGGACAAAAATGTTGAAACCAAGTTAATTATCCTCAAACAGTGTCATAGAAATAGCTTTTCCTGGCACTTTTAAGTAAGAAATGTAATATCCTAGGGGAAGGAATTATTCATAGCACAGATATATATTTATGAGAGAAGGTGATCACTGGGCATACAGGAGGTGTAACACGCATCTGGTAACTAAGAGTTTTAACCATTAGGGTATTCTTTCCTGCATTATCCCGTCTCCATAGCTTCATGTGTGTGGGCAAACCTTCATGCCCGCCCAGAGTTTGTTGATGGAACTGAAAATCCACTCCCAAGATGGAGGCCATAGGTTGTTTCCAAAGACACCCAGTTCCTCATCACTCGAACGCTTTCTCACTTCAGACTTGTTGCCGCCTTTTCAAAAGGTGTGAAGATGTTTCTACTTTAAAATTCTATGGAAATAGCCTCCTATAAATGTCTGCTTTCCTTTTGTGTGTGTGTGTGTGTGTCTTGTATTTTTCATAATTTTATTTTTATTGTTGGTTTTACAGCTCGAGCGTGCCCAGATAGGCGCTAAAAGTGCCGGAACAACACACATATTTTTAGCTTATGTAAAGGTAGTAGAAGGCAACGTTTATGAATAGTTTTGCACATATTATGCTGAGCTATTTTCTATCCAATAAACTGACAAAAGGAAACTGGTTATTGCTGCTATTCTTTTCCTCAGTAATGTAGATACCCAGTTTTCAAAGGGACCTCTTCACCTTGTTGTGTTGCCTCATTGTAATGCAGTTGAGCCAGATCCCAAGCCTCCAAGACAAAATGATGAAAAT